CTGTCGCGGTCTTGTGTTCAGCACATGACTGTTCATGTGTTGCGCTAAWTGTTAAATTTTCGGTTTCATTTGAACCCTTAAAAGAATATCTTTTACTTCTTCTGAAGCTAGCTTATCCAGTTGTGTAAGCTTGGGGCTCTTCAACACTTATAAACGATTTGCCAGCGGGAAGCAGTGGTGGTTGCAACACCACGGGCTTACCCCATTTGCGCACAGTGTGCCATCTATTATTACATACATTGAGATAATACAGAGACTCCAATCAAATATGCTTAGAGTCATAACACGTTCGCCATGGTACATTCGAATGTCTTGCTACAATCCAGTAATCAAACCCACTTCAAAAGAACAGTCCTATTAGCCTTCTAAAGAGCAACGTATTATCAAAATCCATCATCGCAACGGCATCTATTGACAAAATACGAAACTACTTTTTCGACTACCCAATAATTATTTATTGTAAGACTTTAAAATTAAAAATCTTCCACTTCCTTTAATAGAGTTACTATTTTCACCGTAGACCTTGTTTGAAGCAATATTTCGTCTTGTGCAGATCTGGTAAATGAGTTAACTTTCAAGTARCACCCAATTGGTAGTCTGAAAATTGGACGACTACATATCGTCTGCAGCAATTCCCAAATTTAGTTTTACATTTACTCTAATAARCACGAGTTTGAGAACTTAATATACTCAGTTGAATTGAAGTTAAAGCAATTCGACTTCAGATTAACTAAACACTTTTTTGGTATTACGAGCTTCAAGTATTTCCAATCGAAGTCGTAAGTAAACGTTTAAATTGGAATATTTTTTCGTTGTGAAGCAAAGAATTACTTTGATTATGTAATATAATTCGCGGTTTATGGATACACTAAACACACTGTAAGTATATTAGAACGCCGATTTTCAGGTCATAAAAATGTGTAAAGAAATATTGACAACAATAACATTTACAGCGCACCATTTAAATAATGGTTACCATCCTGACAATACTGTCAACGTCTTCCCCCGAGGTATCAAGTTATAATTTATTTAGCTTGCTGCACATTATCTCCTGGCTGTGGTTCGGAATTCTTGTACTGTTTCACCGTTGATGCTTTTTTTCTTATTTGCGAACGTTCTCACATTATTGACCAGCAGCCCACAAGCAATTTATATGTAACCCTTTAACGGTTTATTCATCACGTTTCTTCCTAATTTTTTGTTATTATTTTCTGCTTTTTTTCACTGTATTTAATACAGTTAGACGGTTTTGTGGATGAAGTGTGCTGCGTTGAGAATATATGAACATAGTAACGAAAAAGTAAGAAACTGTTATCACGTTTTTGTTGAGTTATGTCTCGTGCATTTTACAAATGTGTTTTTAATTAAACATTGGATGAACCTAATGAGTGCATGTTTTAAAAATATTTAATATGTCTTATTAAGATTAATTCCTATTGACTGAACTATTTGATACATGTTATACATGGTTATACCTTTTTTAACACTCATTCAAAAAAGTGTTAGTTGGTCCAGCCAAATTACCCGAGATAATTTGATCGGCGACGACTATCAACCATTAAAATATTGACGATACATATAGTACACAATGTATACGACTTATATTCTTCAAATCTAATGCGCGTTTAAATATCCATTTATAATGGCGCAAAAGTAGAATACTATTACTAGAGAGTTAGTCTAACTCGTTTAAGCCTATAACTTTAAYTATGTGATATCTTAAATAAACCAGAAGCCACATTTTGTTTCAACAAAGTATATACAAAATTCATATGCTATTATAGAATAGTTATGATATCTTTTAATTCCTAGCGAGTATTGAGCGAACTTGAAATGTGTATTATTATTATTATTACGTNCTAATGCGCGTTTAAATATCCATTTATAATGGCGCAAAAGTAGAATACTATTAGTAGAGAGTTAGTTTAACTCGTTTAAGCCTATAACTTTAACTATGTGATATCTTAAATAAACCAGAAGCCACATTTTGTTTCAACAAAGTATATACAAAATTCATATGCTATTAGAGAATAGTTATGATATCTGTTAACCCTAGACAGCTAACCTTCAGCCCCCTATAAACCCTAACCATTCGTCGATTCGACGAGCATTGTTAGAGTGTCTTTATTTCATGCATTTAAATAATCTTTAATTATTTTAATTGCAAATATACATATGTATTTCAGGAACTATTGTACAAAATAAAACATTCATTTTATATTCTATTCAAATTGTATTTGTTGAACACATCTTTAATTAAGGTACTAGTTTTAATAAGATCCGAGAAGACAACGTATTTATAAAAAAAACTTAAGATAGAGAAACACATAACAGCCATTTCTTCTTTGGCGTACTTTAATACAAACACTATAAATATTTTCAATAAGATTTAAAAACTATTTTTTTAAAGAGCATTTTATGCAAAAATCAACTTTATGCTCACCACAAATTGCAGTGTTACATTTTGCGCATACCGACTTTGTCATGCGCCTTTTTTTATAGGAACATAGACCGCAAGCTTTCCTTTTATTACTAGTCGGTGCCTCTGCTGGAGGTCATTGGTGGCTGATGGTTGGCTTTGTCCTTGATTCTCAACATTATTGGGAAATAATATCTTTGTTATTTTGTTTTTGGTGTGCGTCGGCATGGTACGAATTTCCTGTCGGATTTTCAGCCAAGGTTCTACAAGTTGCGAATGCAGCTTCTTCATAAAATCACGCCTAGGCAGTATTTTTTCATCCTGTACTGAGACATTGTGGCAATAAAGTATGTAGCTATTGATGCATGCTTTATTCATCATTCCATAGAAAACGCACATTTGCCATCGATTGGTTTTTCTGCTGCATGACATTACAGAGCACATTTGATCAAATGTGTCAACGCCACCTTTTGTAGAATTGTAGAACTCTATCATGCGGGGTTTTTTATTACCTGGATTAACTGAGGCTTCCTCATCACAGGAGAAAAGCATGTAAACCATTTTTGATGGTTTAGATTTGAAGGAAAGAAGTGTACGGGGTCCATCATACACGAACATCGATGTATTCACCTTTCTGGATGTACTGACTTCGGTAGTTTGATTATTCCTCTTACTCCTTTTCTTGTTCTTCATTTCTTCTGGAATTCCCTTTTATTAGAACGTAATGTTCCTACAGTTGTCAGCTTATAAGGCTGCTGAAGTAATTGCTTTGCTAGTGGTATTGAGGTAAACCAATTGTCCATGGTAACGTTTCTGTTCGTGCCGTCAATACTACGAGTAAGTTCCTTTACGAAATACTCTCCCAAAGCCATCCCTCCTGTATTGGCTCCTTTTCCAATATATGGTATACAGTCGACCATATACCTTGTGCTACCATCACACATCATTCCTAACTTAACTTGGGTTTATTTGTTATATGCATTCTGAACTTGCACCTGCCGCGGAAAGCCAGTAGCTGCTCATCAACAGTAACATTTGTTCCGGGAACGYAGTTTTGGCGCACTGGACAATAAGCATTTCCCATATATCTCTTATGGAGGTAAAATGATCGTTTTTTTGCCGTTGTAAGCGAACTGCTCTATCATCAAAACGTAGACATAGAAGAAGGAATTCGCACCTGTCTTTGCTCATCAAGGGTCAGATGGTTATCCTTCAATGCTGCAGTTAACACCATAATTCCCAACAGGGCTCTGATCTCCTCTTTGCTAGTGTTTTTTTGCGTAGATGATATTGACTCATAGTTCTGTCTTTTCATCTCAATCTCTAAGTTTGTCCATTTTAAAATCTCGTCCACTATCTGATTTATTATGAATTGTTAAAATAACATTAGCGGGCCGACAATATCCTTTACTCTCCCGGTACATCATCCATCAAAGCATCAGAAACCCCCTCATGAACGTCTTCATCGCCCGAAAGTAATGATGACTCTTCTGAGTGATTATCACTTTCAACATTATCCACCAATACAGTGTCTTCAGTTTCGCCATCGGATAATTCCTCCAATGCTCCGTCATCGTCCTCGTCCATTAACAAACGCATTAGACTTTCCTCACACAGCAATCGCCTTGAAGACATGATTAAAACTGTAAAAAATAAAAAAACATATATTACATTAAATCCCTAACCATTCGTCGAAACGACGAGCATTATCGTAATATCTAGAAAAATATCGTACTTACCCACCAAACACGTGTGCCTCTCAGAAAAGCTCAGCGAACACTGAGTTGACAAGCAACGTTAGGATGATCAAACCTCGCGAGCAAGAGAGGCAACGAATATTCTTTCTCGTGCTCGTCGAATCGACGAAGGTTAGCTGTCTTTCGTTAATTCCTAGCGAGTATTTAGCGAACTTGAAATGTGTATTATTATTATTATTACGTCTCGAATTATCTCAAATTTATTTTGTCTATATGTGTCTAAATGAAATAGCTGGAGAGATAGCTAAAAATTTACAGAAAATACTTAATTCGCTAAAACCAATTCACAATGAAATTTCCTAAACGGGAGACAGACGGRCCAAAATGACGTGGATCATGTGCAAGAGCATCAAGAAAAGCAAGCATGCTTTTTACTCTCACGGTCTCAAAGGGCTGTAGGACGATTTTTGGCCTAATGACGGACCGAAACTTATAGCCATCACATGCGAGCCAAATGGGTACTAATGACGACAGTTCATGCAGGAAGTGTAGAGAAATAGACATATGAGAGACGCCTAAGAATTTAAAGGACTATATAAAATATCAAAATTAGATATCAACTCGTTTTTAAAGTTCGCTAAAAATGTTGACGTTCTGTGTGACGACTACTTCACGACAAATTAACTGAGCTGCCTGCCACTACTATAAACTAATAGGTCTATGCATGGCAGAGCTGCTGACTAGTATAACCTAACCTAGGTGTAACAGTAGCAAGTTTGGTGTGAGATTCGTGGTGGGAGAGAGACTCCGTCGCCGAGTACTATCATTCATCCCGGTGAATGAACGTCTAGCCACTATCCGCATCAAAGCGAGGTTCTTCAACATATCGCTGATTTGCGCCCACGGCCCGACGGAAGAGAAGAGACGGTATAAGGGAACTGTGGGACGGTATTTCAAACTCCTTACGTACAGCTGCAACCGAAACCATTGGTTTTCGGAAAGTGCAAAAGAACAGCTGATACGACGAGGAGTTATGTGTCGCAGCGGAGAGAAGACCGGCTGCCTACCGCGCAACGTTACGATTGACCACAACACGTGCGGGATGGGATAGAAGCCGAGAGATGAAGAGGGAAGCGAGACGCAATTGCAGACAGAAAAAGAAAGAGGCCGAAATGCGTGAATACGAAGAGCTTGATAAGCTGGACGACAGGGGTAATGCTCGAAAATTGTACGAAAAAATGCGGCGGCTTACAGAAGGTTTCAAGACCGGAGCATACTCTTGTAAAACCCCCAAAGGTGATCTAGTCACCGATGCCCAGAGCATACTTAAATTATGGAGGGAGCACTTCTCCAGCCTACTGAATGGCAGTGAACGCACAACGCTAGGAGAAGACGAACCCGATTCCCCAATCGATGACGATGGAGCAGAATTCCATATCCCGACCAGGAAGAAGTTCGAATAGCAATTACCCCCCTGAAGAACAACAAAGCAGCGGGGGCCGATGGATTGCTGGCCGAGCTAATCAAACACGGCGGCGAAGAACTGATAAGGAGCATGCATCGTAAAATATGGTCGGACGAAAGAATGCCCAACGATTGGAATTTAAGTGTGCTATGCCCAATCCTCAAAATAGAAGACCCCACAATCTGCGCCAACTACGGTGGGATGAGTCTTATCAATATTGCATATAAGGTTCTATCGAGCGTATTGTGTGAAAGATTAAAGCCCACCGTCGACAAACTGATTGGACCTTATCAGTGTGGCTTCAGACCTGGAAAATCAAAAAGCGACCAGATATTCACCATGCGCCAAATCCTGGAAAAGATCCGCGAAAGGAGAATCGACACTCGCCACCTCTTCGTCGATTTCAAAGCTGCTTTCGACAGCAGGAAAAGGAGCTGACTTTACGTCGCGATGTCTGAATTTGGTATCCCTGCAAAACTTATACGGCATCAAAAGCTCCGTCAGAATCGCGAAGGCCCTCTCCGAGCCGTTCGATACCAAACAAGGTTTCACATAAGGCGATTCCTTATCGTGAGACTTTTTCAACCTGCTTCTGGAGAAAATAGTTCGTGCTGCAGAACTCAATAGAGAAGGTACCATCTTCTATAAGAGTGTACAGCTCCAGACTGGACAAGGGAGCAACACAAATGGGTCTGGCAGTGAACGAGGGCAAGGCGAAATATCTCCTGGCATCAAACAAACAGTCGTCGCACTCGCGACTAGGCACTYACGTCACTGTTGGCAGTCATAACTTTGAAGTCGTAGATAATTTCGTCTATCGTGAAACCAGCGTAAACACCACCAACAATGTCAGCCTAGAAATTAAACGCAGGATAACTCTTGCCAACAGGTGCTACTTCGGACTGAGTAGGCAATTGAGAAGCAAAGTCCTCTCTCGACAAACAAAAACCAAACTCTATAAGTCAYTCATAATTCCCGTCCTGCCATATGGTGCAGAGGCTTGGACGATGTCAACAACGGATGAGTCGACGGCGAGTTTTCGAGAGAAAAGTTCTGCGAAAGATTTATGATCCTTTGCGCGTTGACCACGGCGAATATCGCATTCGATGGAACGATGAGATGTACCAGACATACGACGACATTGACAAAGTTCAGCGAATTAAAAGACAGCGGCTACGCTGGCTAGGTCATGTTGTCCG